TACCATATAATGTATTGTTTCAGGGGTACAGGTCTGTGATTCATCAGTCTTACACAATTCACAGCGCTCACCATAGTACCTATCCTCCCCAGTGTCCATCACCTAGCCACCCCATCCGTCCCACGCCCCTCCACTCCAGCAACCCTCAGTTTGTTTCCTGAGATTGAGTTTCTTATGCTTTGTCTCCCTCTCCGGTTTCGTCTTGTTTCATTTTTCCCCTCCCTTCCCCTATGATCCTCTGTCTTGTTTCTCCTATTCCTCTTATCATTGAGATCATATACTTGTCTTTCTCTGGTTGACTTATTTTGCTTAGCATAATACCCTCTACTTCCATCCACATCGTTGCAAATGGCAAGATTTCTTTTTTTTTTTTTTTGATGTCTGCGCCATTGTAGATATACCCCACATCTTCTTTATCCATTCATCTGTTGATGGACATCTAGGCTCTTTCCATAGTTTGGCTATTGTGGACATTGCTGCTATAAACATTGGGGTGCATGTGACCCTTTGGATCACTACATTTGTATCTTTGGGGTAAATACCCAGTAGTGCAATTGCTGGTTCGTAGGTTAGCTCTATTTTCAACTTTTTGAGGAACCTCCATACTATTTTCCAGAGTGGCTGCACCAGCTTGCATTCCCACCAACAGTATAGGAGGGTTCCCTTTTCTGCTCATCCTAGCCAACATCTGTTGTTTCTTGACTTGTTAATTTTGACCACTCTGACTGGTGTGAGGTGGTACATCCCATTGAGGTTTGGATTTGGATTTCCCTGATGCCAAGTGATGTTGAGCACTTTCTCATGTGTCTGTTGGCCATTTAGATGTCTTCTTTGCAGAAATGTCTGTTCATGTCTTCTGCCCATTTCTTGATTGGATGATTTGTTGTTTGGGTGTTGAGTTGGATAAGTTCTTTGTAGATTTTGGATACTAGCCCTTTATCTGATATGTCATTTGCAAATATCTTCTCCCATTCTGTCAGTTGTCTTTTGGTTTTGTTGACTGTTTCCTTTGCTGTGCAAAAGCTTTTTATCTTGGGCGCCTGGGTGGCTCAGATGGTTAAGCGTCTGCCTTCAGCTCAGGTCATGATCCCAGAGTCTTGGGATCGAGTCCCGCATCGGGCTCCCTGCTCTTTGAGAGCCTGCTTCTCCCTCTGCTTCTCTCTCTCTCTGTCTCTCATGAATAAATAAATAAATAAAATCTTTAAAAAAAAAAAAAACCCCACCTCATTTTAAAAAAAAAAAAAAAAGCTTTTTATCTTGATGAAGTCCCAATAGTTCATTTTTGCCCTTGCTTCCCTTGCCTTTGGCAGTGTTTTAGGAAGAAGTTGCAGCCTGTGTTCTCCTCAAGGATTTTGATGGATTCCTGTCTCACATTTAGGTCTTTCATCCATTTTGAGTCTATTTTTGTGTGTGGTGTAAGGAAATGGTCCAGTTTCATTTTTCTGCATGTGGCTGTCCCAATTTTCCCAACACCATTTGTTGAAGAGACTGTCTTTTTTCCATTGGACATTCTTTCCTGCTTTGTTGAAGGTTAGTTGACCATAAGTTGAGGGTCCATTTCTGGGCTCTCTATTCTGTTCCATTGATCTATGTGTCTGTTTTTGTGCCAGTACCATACTTCCTTGATGATTACAGCTTTGTAATAGAGCTTGAAGTCCGGAATTGTGATGCCACCAGCTTTGCTTTTCTTTTTCAACATTCCTCTGGCTATTCGGGGTCTTTTCTGATTCCATACAAATTTTAGGATTTTTTGTTCCATTTCTTTGAAAAAATTTGATCGTATTTTGATAGGGGTTGCATTAAATGTGTAGATTGCTCTAGGTAGCATAGACATTTTCACAATATTTGTTCTTCCAATCCATGAATATGGAATGTTTTTCCATTTCTTTATGTCTTCCTCAATTTCTTTCATGAGTATTCTATAGTTTTCTGAGTACAGATCCTTTGCCTTGTTGGTTAGATTTATTCCTAGGTATCTTATGGTTTTGGGTGCAGTTATAAATGGGATCGACTCCCTAATTTCTCTTTCTTCTGTCTTGGCGCTGTATAGAAATGCAACTGATTTCTGTGTATTGATTTTATATCCTGCCACTTTACTGAATTCCTGTATGAGTTCTAGCAGTTTTGGGGTGGAGTCTTTTGGGTTTTCCACATAAAGTATCATATCATCTGCAGAAAGTCAGAGTTTCACTTCTTTGCCAATTCGGATGCCTTTTATTTCTTTTTGTTGTCTGATTGCTGAGGCTAGGACTTCTAGTAGTTTGTTGAACAGCAGTGGTGATAGTGGACATCCCTGCCCTCTTCCTGACCTTAGGGGAAAAGCTCTCAGTTTTTCCCCATTGACTATGATATTCTCTGTGGGTTTTTCATAGATGGTTTTTATGATATTGAGGTGTATACCCTCTATCCCTACACTGTGAGGAGTTTTAATCAAGAAAGAATGCTGTACTTTGTCAAATGCTTTTTCTGCATCTATTGAGAGGATCATATGGTTCTTGTCCCTTCTTCCATTAATGTATCACATTGATTTGCTAATGTTGAACCAACCTTGCAGCCCAGGAACAAATCCCACTTGGTCGTGGTAAATAATCCTTTTAATGTACTGTTGGATCCTATTGGCTAGTATTTTGGTGAGAATTTTTGCATCCATGTTCATCAGGGATATTGGTCTGTAATTCTCCCTTTTGATGGGGTCTTTGGTTTTGGGATCAAGGCAATACTGGCCTCATAAAATGAGTTTGGAAGTTTTCCTTCCGTTTCTGTTTTTGGAACAGCTTCAGAAGAATAGGCATTAATTCTTTTTTAAATGTTTGGTAGAATTCCCCTGGGAAGCCATCTGGCCCCGGGCTTTTGTTTGTTGGGAGATTTTTGGTGACTGCTTCAATTTCCTTAGTGGTTATAGGTCTGTTCAGGTTTTCTCTTTCTTCCTGGTTCAGTTTTGGTAGTCGATAGATCTCTAGGAATGCATCCATTTCTTCCAGATTATCTAATTTGCTGGCATAAAGTTGCTCATATTATGAACATATATAAGAACATATATGTTCTTATAGTTTGTATTTCTTTGGTGTTGGTTGTGATCTCTCATTCATGATTTTGTTGATTTGGATCATTTTTCTTTTTGATAAGTCTGTCCAGGGGTTTATCAATCTTGTTAATTCTTTCAAAGAACCAGCTCCTGGTTTCGTTGATCTGTTCTACTGTTCTTTTGGTTTCTATTTCATTGATTTCTGCTCTGATCTTTATTATTTCTCTCCTTCTGTTGGGTTTAGGCTTTATTTGCTGTTCTTTCTCCAGCTCCTTTAGGTGTAGGATTAGGTTGTGTATTTGAGACCTTTCTTGTTTCTTGAAAAACGCTTGTGTCGCTGTATACTTTCCTCTGCTGCATCCCAAAGATTTTGAACAGTTGTGTTTTCATTTTCATTTGTTTCCCTGAATTTTTTAAATTCTTCTTTTTTTCCTGGTTGACCCATTCATTCTTTAGTAGGATGCTCTTTAGCCTCCATGTATTTGAGTTCTTTCCGACTTTCCTCCTGTGATTGAGTTCTAGTTTCAAAGCATTGTGGTCTGAATATATGCAGGGAATGATCCCAGTCTTTTGATACCGGTTGAGACCTGATTTGTGACAGGATGTGATCTATTCTGGAGAATGTTCCATGTGCACTAGAGAGAAATATGTATTCTGTTGCTTTGGGATGGAATGTTCTGAATATGTCTGTGAAGTCCATTTGGTCCAGTGTGTCATTTAAAGCCTTTACTAAAGAAAACAGTTTTCCTAGAGTCATAGTACCACTTTATTGTGAACTTCCCCACTTCCCCTGCATTTTCCATCTTTGTGATCCATCACAGATAGTGGTGTTCATGATTGTGGCCCTTGAGCAAGAAAGTAGAGTTTGTTGTTCTCAGTATGGTCCATTAAAGAAGGCAGGCAGGTCTGTCTGTATGCTTTAAGTTAGCTTAATTGTTTTTAGCACTTTTTAAGCTCTGATTTCCATAGTACTTGTCTGTTCTCATAGGACCCTGAACAGAGATCCTGCTTTTCACCTTTCTTGGTTACTGCTCACTTTGATTCTGTGATTCCTGTAACTCCAGGTCAGCACTTTCTTCAGAAGAATATTTGATGCCCCAGTGAACGAGTTTTGAAATAATTCCATTGTCCTTGAAGTTGGGCTGTAAGGGTCTGAATAGCTAAGAATATTCCCTATTCTGAAAATAGGCAATTTGGGTGAGCCTCATTGGGAAAAAAAACATTATGGTGGGTTTATGTTAATTAACTGGTGGGTGAGGGTTCTCGGCCTGGTTTGATGCAGGAGAGCATGTTTCTAGAGCTGATGCCTCAGAGCTTAGGTCTGTTTCCTGTCCAGATCACATATGGGTCCCGATAGCATCTGGGTCCCTCCCATTCGGTCAGGTCCAGGGCTCCTTCCTTCTGCACCCTGTGATTTTTAGGCATACCCATGACTCTGCCCATGTAAAACAGGGTTCTGAACACACCATTTCTTTCTGGATACAGATGCCAGTCTACTGCCCTCCTCTGTTTTCCTTTGATTGAAAGTAGAATTTACCTCTTCCTGGCCCAAATCCAAAGGCAGAAGAATGTGAAGCTTAAGATACTACCTAAGATCATATTAACATAGTTTTTTCTTAAATGCTACTTGGGCGTATAACAAAATCAGACCTCCAGGCTACACCTGAGTCATGGAAAGAAAGGACTTTAGACAGGAAAAAAAAATCTAAAAAGCATAATTATTTTAATAGCTGTCCTCGGAGAAAATGCAGGTAAGGGTGAAGCTGCCCCAAATTAATAATTAGATAAATCCTGGGGATTATAGCACAGCAGGATTTAGTATTCCATTTCTAAAAAATGCACAACTCTGCCAAAAACTGAATGAATGTGATTGCAGCTATCTGTGGTTTTGACCGATGCTCTTGCAGCTGTGAAAGTTTGACCTGAGCTGAAATGCCTCACTGAGTCAGCCCTCTCTGTGTCCTTGTCCCTGCAGCGCAAATCTGTCCAAGGCCGCATGGGGAGCGTTAGAGAAGAACGGCACCCAGCTGATGATCCGTTCCTATGAGCTTGGGGTCCTTTTCCTGCCATCAGCATTTGTAAGTTCACGTTTGAAACTGCTTGAGTGGTCACACGTGAAACAAGTTGGGTTTTTATGTTCTCTTCCTTTGATCATGATGACCTGCCCGAGGCCAGGAGGGAGCAGGGCCAGGGTTCTAACCTAGAGCCTGTGCTCTCAACTGCTGGCCTGTGCTAACAAATATATTTAGCACTCACTATTCTGGGTGCCATGAGATTGCTGCTCTCAGGGAGCATACCTGATGACAGATTGAAGATAATTGCATTGGGTAAAGTTAACCACATGTTTCACAGGATTTAAATATTGTTAAGATTCATTACAAAATGGTAGTGACAGGTCACCAAAGGGATGCGTGAGCCCAGAGCAAGATGTTCCTTTGGAGGAGGTCTCTGGAAGCTAGAAGATTTGGGAGTGCAAGGGGAAAGGTTGCTTAGAGTTTAGGGTAGGTGGAGAGGAGAGGAAAGGGCATCATGTTGGAAGTGGTATGAGCATAAGTCAGGAGGCAAGGAAACTCACAACATCTGCTTGAGAAGGAGTTCGTTCAGAAGGTCACAGAGGATCTGTGCGATCAGACTCACTGGTAAGCCCCCTAGAAACACACCACAGTGGAAGCTGTATCTCTTGAGGTGTCTAGCCCAGCCAGCTTGTCTTCCAGATTAGAAAGGCTCAGTTTCTGCAACTGAACACCAGACAGTATGGCTGCTTTTCATGTAGGGACTGGCTGTACATGCCTTCTGATTTCTAAACACTAAAACCACTCTTGGCCTAGAGAGACGTTCCCACTCTGAGGGGCACATAGACCCCAAGACCACCTGTCTTGCCCCTCACACATTTCAGTGGAATGCAGTCAGAACTGCCCACACAATAAGATGGTTAATGCTTTTTTATCTTTTTTTTTTGCCACCTGCTATAGTTGAACGTATGATAAACACACACATGATGCAGCTCCGTTGTAAGCCACTTGGACTAGACCAAATATTTAAGGGAGTACTGTGTACTTGTCCTCAGGCCTCAGTCCAGACCCATGTGACATGTAGGCATAGTCTGGAAGGTGCCAGAGAACACCCTCCCTGCCCCCAGCCTGACGGTCTTCCTCACTAACCCTCCCCTCCACAGTCTGGTGAAAAGTCCTTTTCTCCCTCTCTCTCTCTCTCTCCTCCCTTCATCAATCTTTATCTATCCTTTTCTTCTCCAACTCAGGGTTTTGCTACAGAACTGTCAAATAAGTTTCTCCTAAGGTTAATAATCGTGAAATTCTAGCACTTTTTGTTTCTTTCTTACAGAGTCAGAGCAGATCCTAACACTGCTTACAATTGCTTTCCCCTCCATTTCCTTGGAGACAGATGGTTCCCCCTTTGCTATAGACAAGGATGTGACTTCCCTAGGGTTCCACAGCTGAGTGGACTCCAGCCCTCAAGCCACCATCTCTGACTGATCCCTCCTGTGATCTTTCAGCTTTATCACAGAGAAATAGTAAACTCATAACACTAGGGTAATAATAGTAATTTGGTGTAACTGTAGTGATAGTAGCTTTGAATTAAGGCCAACATTATTTCCCAATAGTAACCTAAGGAATAAATTCCATGTCCCTCTTGTTTGGCTTTTGTTGTCCATGTTTGCAAAATTCTAGACATTTCTAACTTTTCTGACTCAGTTCCTTGTCATGAAAATGGTAATAGGAAAGATGTATATTGCGCTTCAGGTCCTCTAGACCCTGCTAAGCTAATTTTCACTTCTGATTCTATTTCTGACTGTACATTGGAGGCAGCTAATAGAGGGGAAAAAATAGGCATAATCATTTAGAATCCCCAAATTAGACTCTTCTATACCATTAGAAAAAGAAAGAGCCCCCACTACAGTACATTCTAGATAAGAGATTCAGTTATTTATAAAGACTGTCAGGCAAGAATATTAAAAATGGTTTCTTCCCCTCCTATGCTATGCTGATAGATTCAAGAGTGAGGCTCCAAGCACAGTGACCATGTAATTAACACAGTGACTAAAAAGATAGCATTTTATCGAGCAATCCAAGTTCTTTGGCATTTCTTAAGATACAAATCCTACAACAGTGCTTTAAAGCAGGCTTCCTCCATAACACTAGTAAGGACCCAAAACTGTCACTATCTTGTCAGACATTCTCTTTTCTGGGTGGATTGTCTGTGTCCTTCACTGAACCATAAATTATTTGAGAAGGGTGCCAAAATGAGGCGTGTGGACAAGACATTGAAGTGTTTAACCTGGGGCGCCTGGGTGGCTCAGTCAGTTGAGCGTCTGACTCTTGGTTTGGGCTCCGGTCATAATCTCAGAGTCGTGGGATCAAGCCTTGTGTCGAGCTCCACGTTCGGCAGGGTGTCTGCTTGGAATTCTCTCTCTTCCTCTCCCTCTGCCCCTCACCCACCCCCACCTCAAATAAACCTTAAAGTGTTTGACCTCGCCCTCCCAAAGGAGCCTACTAGTCACGTTGAACAAGAAAGTCATTTTAAAAAGGCACTTTCGTTGAGAGATGTCCAGGTGCGACCCAGGTGCCAAGACCTGGGAGAGAAGTAACTGGCCTGAGTGAGCAAAAGCCAAAGGGCTGAAAGTGGGTATTCGGGTCCTTTTCATTGCTCTTGACAGAAACTAACTTAAGCTTGTGTAAGCCCGCAGAAGGGGGTAGTTTTTTGAAGAGCTGCTGAAAGGCATGTCATGGAATCAGTGGCACGGTGGAGACTTGGGAGCGGGGGAGCTGGGCCAGCCCTGGGGCCTTCAGCAGCCTATCACCTGTCTGGGTGGCTGTCACTGGTGACACTTCTGCAGTGGCTTGTTCCCTCATTTGCCAGCCATTCTGCATTTAAGGACTGCTCAAGTTCATGTCTGCTTTTCACGCCTCTTTACTGCCCTGACCCTGTCCTGTAATAGTGGGTGTGTTTCCCAGAGAAGGGCAGATTGTTGGGAGCTAGGAAGCCATGCCTGAGGGTATCACCCATAAGTGAGTTGATGTGTGTTTTATCAGTCTGCATAATACCATGTCAAGAAAATTTTGCAACAGAGGAGACTTTGTCCTTAAGCTACTGTGTCACTTACTGGTGTGTAAAGCTTCTGGAAACCCAGTAGAGCTTTGCTTGGTCTTCACAGACTTAACATTTATGGTTTTGATGCTGAGGGCAACCGAAAGATCTTTGCCGCGAGGTGATTTGTCGTTTTGCTGAGGTAATTTCGAACACAGAATGAGACCATTAGCTTGTGAAGGAGAGACGGTCCAGCACAACTCCACAGCTCCCTCCTCAGAATGTCTCCCAGACTTGTCACTGAACATTCCGACCTGCCTGGAATGACCTCGCAGTCAATCTCTTCAGCTCCACCAGATCCCCACGCCTCTAGTTCAGTAGCCCTGGGAATAGGAAAAACGAGATGGAGTCTTCATTCTCATGAAGCTCATGGATAAGTTCAGGAAACGGATTATAGTATGTGATGAGAACTGTGGTGTAGGGGGTTCACAATATAAGGACTCTGAGAAAAGGAGCATGTAATCTGCCTGGGGGCCCTGGGGAAGGGTTCTATGAGGAGATGACATTTGACCTGGGTCTTAAAAAATGAGTTATGAGCTTAACCCACCCATCAAGGGACATGAGGCTTCCAGCCAGAGAGAACAGTGCATGTTCTACTTGAGGAAGAGCAGGCCATTCCATGTGCCTGGGAGGGGGCTGGGATGTAGGCCATAGGCTCTGAGGTTGGACTCCTGTTCTGAAGGAGACTGGCAAGCAGGACCCACTGGAATTGTACTTTGTCCCACAAGGACAGTAGAAAGCCATCAGTTTTTTAAGCAGGATTAGTGATGTCATCGGGCCAATTTCCAAATAATTTGAAGCTTATAAGATACTTCTCCAATTATGAGTATAATTTAAGTTCTATTATTCAAAAGGTACCTGAGGATGAGGGCCTTGTAAATCTCACCAAAATCATCTTCATCACTTAAGCCATACTATTATAAAAATTTGATTAATGATTACTATTACTAGCACCCCACCGTCCTAGCTCAAAGTGTACAAAGTCATCTCTGGCGACTCTTTTACACCCAAATTTTGCTGCTTAATGCTGCTTGATAATCAGTCACTTCTGGCCATTCCTGCTGCCACTGTCCAGGGCACATCAACTTCTGCTATAGTATCCTCCCACCATGCTTCCCAAGGCAGCCTGCACCCGGCTGCCAGAGTGTCTTTGTAGACCACACGTCCGGTCATGTCACCCACCTTCAAAATCTTGTAAGATAGAAGCCAGACTCCTTAGCATGGCCTTCTTTTCTCTTCATGCCCTGACTCCTCGGCCTGACCACTTCTCCGTCTTTCCTGGCCTTCATGTTCAGCCATACAGAACTGGTTCCTATTATGAGTCAAGCCCATATGTGTTCTCCAGAGAAACAGAACCAATAGGATATATAGATACATACAGAGAGAGATTTATTGTGAGGAATTGGCTCACATGATTTTGGGGGGCTAGGAAGTCCCAGCCTCTGCCAGCAAGAGGCCCAGGAGAGCTGGTGGTGTAGTTTCACCAGTTGTAGAGTCTGAAGTTCTGAGGATCAGGAGAGTTGATGCTTTCAATCCCGATCCAAGTTTGGGAGAAGACCCATGTCCCAGCCAATAGAGAGCGAATTTACCCTTCCTCCGCTCTTTTGTTCTAGTCAGGCTCTCAACAGATTGGATGATGCCCACCTACATTGCGGGGTCAGAAGCAGTTTGCTCTGTTCAATCCATCGACTCGAATGCCAGTCTCATCCAGAAACACCCTCAGAGACCCCCACAGTGAGTGACGTTTAACTGGTCATCTGGTATCTGATGGCCCAGTCAAGTGGGTACCTAATAACCATCGTGCCCTCATTCATCAGCCTTAATCTGTCTCAGGAACAGCACCCTTAAACCCAGCTGCCTCCCCTGTCTCCAGTCCAGGTGCCCCTCGTCTGCATCCCACAGCTTTCTAGAACGTGGGCTCATCACATATCCCTTGTATTATCATTTACTTGTCTGTCTCCTTGACTGTGAG